GAAAGTATGTGCAAATATTTTAACAGGTGATAGTAGAGCTCAAAAAAAGTCAAAATAACTCAACTTGCTTTATACCGAATGGTTATAGTTTTTGAAATGAAGAGAACTTTTTATTTAACTTCACCAACTTAAATTGTAAATAAATATGATCTCTGAAGTTAGCTCTTCAAAATCTTTATTTAAAAAAAAAAATTAAAATTAACCAAAACAGGCACAGAAAAAAGTGTTCTTATACAAAATGGTAAAAATGTTTTTTATTTTTTTATTGAATTTTATTACCTACCTCAAATGATACCGATAACTACCAAAAGATTCAAACCTCGTTTATATTGCATTTTTTTGACAATTTTTCTAACGTCAAAGTGGAGATTACATTCTCTAGGTATCTCTTAGAAACTATAAACATTTATTTTGACTTTTTTTTAACCTGTACTATCACCTGTTAAAATATTTGCACAAACTTTAAAATCATCCAGTATATGACTCAATCTATACCTACATAAACTTCCTCAAAGTAGCATGAGTGACTTTTTGCCAAGAATTTTCACAACGTAATGATAAGATAAAAGAAATAATTTTTTTAATTTTTAATTAAATGATTTATGTATTACTAGTTAAAATAGTTAAACTAGTTTCTAGTGGTCACACTTGTAGCTTTATATCAATCACACTTTTTTAAATAAATTTTTAGAACGACAGATAGAAGAGTAGTTTGTAAAACTAAATATTCGTTTGTATAATATTATTTTTCAAAATTTATCTTTTCGTATTAGTAATCAAAAATTTTTCAGCTATTTTTGGAGAGTTTTTTAAATGTCCACATTAGGTGGCAATCTGCCAATAAATTGCAGTAAAAAGAAATGTTACTTACCTTTATTACATCGTTTAATATCAAAAAGCAGATATAAAGTGTCAATAAAACTTTTTCAGAGTTGAAGAGATAAATATTTTCTTTGTATCCGCTCCCGAAAACAGCTGCTTTAGGGACTCATTTGAGTCCCTAAAATGAGTCTTTAGCGGACTCAGTAAAATACTACGCAAAATGGTTAATTTAGGTAGTCAGTCCCCAAAAACAGTTTTTCCAGACTAAAAAATAAAATTGGTTACTATAGTGTCAAATTTTTTTAATTAATAAGAGGTGTGAATTCGTGTTTTGGGAGTTTTAACAAAAAATGTTGTGTGTAACGTACCTAAAACGTTTTTGCGTTTTTGCTATTCCAGACTCGCTTTCACCTCGTCCGGAAACAGCAACGATTCGTCCGCAAAAACTGTGTTTTAAGTACTTGTAACAAAAATAACTATTTACAGTCTGTTGCTCATTTTTATAATCTTTTTTCAATGACGATTTTGCAATTAAACTTTTGTTCTTATTTATTTATATTTAGGATGTTGTAATGAATCTCCGTACCTACCTGCACAAACACTCCCACTTGGTCCCTCGTAATCAAAATCCTTCATCAGTGGGTTTAATTTTTCTCATTTTGATTATTAATTTATTCATTCATTTATGTACATATTAAATCTGTAGTCTTGTTACATAACATTTCTTGGCGTTGATCATGAAACAAAACATCAAACGTCGGTTTCTTGATGGAAATTTTGTGAATATATGTGTGTTTTTTTCGCAGTCACTAACTTTAATCCAAAGTTTCATTCCAATGGCTTAAAAAACCAGAATAAAGGTGGTAAACAACGACCACAAGCTACACATTTAGGCCTCCCGTAACGTAGCCAACAAGGTCAGTTGTCTCACTTGACTTTCTATCAATCCATCATTCAGTCTCACAGCCGATGAAAAATGATTGAAATATTAATTTTTGCGTCGCAACTAACGTTAGTTTTTGTGAACACGTATACCGTACTTTTCCGGATTCGGGTTTGAAGAGAAAGAACGCTTAAAAGTTCGTTATTTATATATATTTTACACATTTAGAAATATTTTTTCATTTAATAATTATAATAATTTCGTCCTAAAATTATAGACAGTTTTCAATAAACACTACTTTACATAATAAGGTACATCTTCTGTCTCACACTCACCACAATCATCAACAACTAATAGTTTACAATATACTATACAAGGAATCACTAAAACTTTTATAGACCGACAGTGACAAATCGCGCAATTAGTTTAAGTTGTCAAGTTCTTGCGAGCTCAACAATCGCTCGCCCACTTTTCCCTCGTTCACTGTATCTTACATATTCAACAAAACGCACCAACAACCAAAAAAAAACAACCTCATGGTACAAAAACGAGTGTTTCTCGAGTCGGTTCGTGAAAGGTTCGAAACAATATTGTAAAATTATAGGAAACCTCAAAATGCCAATCACTTTTATACCATAGATTTAACGAATTCAACACTCTCCGTTAGTACGTATCACTATTTTACAAATTTTTCCGTGCTTGGAATGAAAAAGCGCAACAACTAAACCAACAAAACGTCACCGATAGGAAAATAAATTAACACAAGACGTTAAATGTTGATTGAATCGTCTTACTTCATATTGCACCGAACTCGTGTTTTATTTATCAAACAGGATGGAATTTCTCTTCTTCTTTAGCTGAGATCGTTTAACTGTAGTCGCAATCCAAACATAACAACGATTTTTTACTTTTTATGTAAAACGTTCGTACACTCCACTGGTCGCCGCCGTTCGTCCGTTTGTTTTATTCAAATTTTCATAGACCTAATTAGTAACTAATCACTTTCTGCAGTATTAAACAGCTGGCCACACCCTAAAACAAAACATCAAAATTAGAAAAATTAATTTGAGCAACATAGACATTTTCTCCAACCCCATTAAAAAAATTATATAAGCTGCTCAGTTATTTTCTATTTTCATCTAACAATAAGGCCTAAAATTATTTTAGTGTTATAAAAGTACCACAATATAATAAATAAAACGTTTTATTGATTTAGACATACGGTAATTTATATAAAACTATCCGTTGTAATAAAAAATAACGACGATATCTTTACTTTCTGATCTCGACTGTCGTAAAAATCAAGCACTTTCCACTTATTAACGGTCAAATTATAAAACCAGTAAATGTGCATATTAATAACATAAAATCCCACAAATTGTGCACCTCACGCCAGGCATCAAATACCTCTCAGTTAATTTAATTAAGTTATACAAAATAAAATGAAAAGATGTGTAGACTGGTGTATTCGACGATAGATAAGATAAACACCAACAAAACTACGGCTCTATTGTTTATTTCAATGTTACATTCTTGTTCTTCATTCTTATTTGATGGGAATTCGAGTGGAATATTAGTTATTGTTTTAGTTTTTGTTCATTTCAACTTCATTGTTGTGGATACCGACAAAGCAAAGTTTATGAAAAAATTAAAATCGATACACACGTCGTAAAAAATACTTTAAATTGGCAATTACTCGAAAAATAAAATTTCCATTAATTGCCCCAATTACGATTTTTTCCTGTTAATAAACAAATTGTCCGTTCGTTGACCTCCCGTTGGCACCTCGGTTATTTCTTTGAGTCTCTAACCAGGAAAACGAGCTTCTTACACAAGTCCACCCCTCGAAGAATTTCATTATATCAGCGTTAATATTGAAACATTTAAACTAGCAATTAACGTCATAACAGACGTCACGATCTTCAAAGGATTTATTTTTCGTTTTAGGTATAAAGTTTGCATACCGACTAAGTTTAATTAAAAACGCATTCATCAAGACGCTGCAGAAGGATCATATTGAGTAGCTCAAAAAAAAAAAAACATCGACGACGGTCAATTAGCCGACTTGATTGGAATTATTTAGTGCGACGTTAATTTGTTTACGGCGACATCGAGACCATCGAAAATTGGTTGGGTTTTTAAGATAAAAAGTGCAACAGATAACAAAATTGTATTTATTAATAACAAACAATTTAAATTCAATACCACTTTGTTGCTCCACCCTGTAGACGCAGATATTTGTTTATGACCCACAAGATTTGAGTTGAGTCATTACAAATTAAGTAAATAAAGTTTTGTTTCATTCATAATTTTTAATTCTAAAACGTCATACATGGTTGCTCGTTGCCTTCACTTTTCTTAATACTAATTTATTCAAAATATGCAATTTATGCTTGCACAATGTTCTTTACTTTCATTAAATATTTTAATTTATTGTTTAATTTTAAATTTTAGCAGACTCAAATGGATTTTAAATTTTATAGCAGTAAATACTATTCAAACATGACCCAAGTAAAAAATGCAGTGTTTTGTAGTAAGGTTTTACTACAAAATGTAACATTTAGCGTTAGTTGTTTATTATAAAAAAGTTTTATAGTTGGTTTTACATTTCACGTAGTTTCATACTTTTCGCTCATGCTGTCTAATAAATTGTTACTAAAACATGATGAATGCAAAATTCTAGATTTAGAAAGTCCAAATATTAATTTAATTTTTATAAATCACTTTATCACCCTTTTTCTGAAACGATTCAACATTATTCTTATTAATTTTATAGTTTTGATAGTTGCTAAAGATTTAACACTGATCCAACTGGTGTTTCTCTAGTAATTAATTAATTATTTAATAGGACCCTAACAGAAAGTAATTTTTTCCACCTTAATTTCAGTCAATGAACTCTCTCATCTATCAAATTTATAAAAGTTGCTCCAGAACTAGCGCCCCAGAAAAAATGCCATATAAGATAAGATACCAGGAATATAGAAAAAATGTTAAAAAATTCTACCTATAAAAATTTCGAATTTATGAGAGTTTAAATTTTGCACATTGACTATTTACTTTTGTTGTAAAAATAATTTTCAAAGTTTTTTTGCTACAGGCTATTAGAAGAAGAAAGAAGAAAGCTGTATCCTAAATTGTAACAATGTTTAACGTTATTTGTGACTTTTATTGGCAAAATTTTTGTACCTTTACTAAATAATTATAAAAAAAAACATACAAGATCATCAGTATCATTATATAGACATAAAATATGTCTTATTTGAAATTTTTTTCTGGGGCGCAAGTTCTGACACACCCTGTATATCACCTCTCAGGAAAGTAAAAATTTTACCTCCCCCAGAGAAACGAAAAAATATGCTACTAGATTTCATGGCAAACTTGGGATATCAAGAGAAATTGTTAGTTTTGAAATTTTTCTTGATGGATCGTAACAAAAATTAAAAGTATTACACAGGGAGGAGAGAGTCTTTTCCTCCCTGGTTACCTCCCTCGACAAGTCTCGTGGGAAGAAAAGATACCAATTTCTCCCTTGTAATACAAATAACTGTTAACGATAACTTGCTTCAAAAACCGAGCCTTTTTTTAGTTTTTTATCGGTTAAGCATTGAAATAGCCAATACTTAATAAAATAAGCAAAAATATGATAGATATACAGGATGTTCCGTTTAAACCCCACATTAAAAGTATTGGGAGTTCGAATAATCATATTTGTTTGAAAATTGGTACATAGTCATAATGAATAAGTCCTCCTAAATGAAACTATTTTCAAGATGACGGCACTTTCGGTTATACCAGAAGTCGGTCTCAACTTTCTTATTTTAAATAGAAAGGTATATTTTTTACTGCGTTTTTGGATTAATCAGGTTATTTTAATGGAGTTTTCATCAGCTTTCCCTATACCTAAAGTTAGCCGTTTTTGAAATATAGTTTTTCAAAAATTTTTGGATCTGCACCTTCCAATTTAAAAATCGGTAACTCTGCCATTTTTTAAGATTTTGAATTCATTTATTTGGCGTTTGGAAGAGAAAGCTTAGATCCTTTTTCTGGTGTTTTCAAATTTTGAAACATATCCCAAAATTTTAAGGTTACTTTTGTAATAATTCAAATACTCATAACTCAATTTTTCCAAATAAAATACCCCAATTTTTATTTTACTAAGTGGAAGAGAATTTAATTCTGCACGGATGGGTATTAACATTCCCTATACCTAAATTTAATAATTTTTAAGTTTTAAAATGTCAAAATTGTTTCTCAATAAACGTCGACAGTGACTCATTATTTGACAAATAGTGCCAAAATATGGAGAATCAAAGCTACTCAAACTTAGATTTAATTAATTTATGTTGTATTCATGTAGAGTGTAACAAAATTATGATGTCGTTCATTAAACAAAAATAAATTTTTCTCACTCGTTAGCTTTAAATAATGATCGCATGGTAGAACCTATCAATAATAATTAAGGTTGCATAACTTTGATTCTTCATATTTTGACACTATTTGTCATATAGTAATTTACTGTTGATGTTTGTTTAGAGAAAATTTTGACATTTTTGACTTTCATTGCACACTATGTGAAAACGAATGTGGCTAGTAATAAATTTTCTGTAGTCTTAACAAAAAGTCCATAACTTGAAAATTATTAAATTTAGGCATAGAGAACGTTAATACAGATCAATGCACAATTAAATTCTCTTCTATTTAGTAAAATAAAAATTGGGGTATTCCATTTGAAAAAATTGAGTTATGAGTATTTGAATTATTACAAAAGTAACACTAAATTTTGTGATAGGTATGTTTTTTTTTCAAAATTTTAAAACAGCAGAGAAAGGATCTAAGCTTTCTCTTTCAAACGCCAAAAAAAACGAATTCAAAATCTTAAAAAATGGCAGAGTTACCGATTTTTAAAGTGTAAGGTGCAGATCCAAAAATTTTTGAAAAACTCCAAATATTTCAAAAACGGCTAGATTTAGGTATAAAGAAAAATAAATAAAAACTCCCATTAATCCAAAAACGCAGTAAAAAATATACGTTTCCATTTAGGTAAAATAAGAAAGTTGAGACCGAGTTCCGGTATAAGCGGAAGTGCCGCCATCTTGAAAATATTTTCATTTAGAAGGACTTAATGGTTTATGGCTAGGTAACAATTTTCAAATAAATACGATTATTCGAACTCCCAATACTTCTAATGTTCTTCATTAAGTTCTATTTATTTGTTATCGTAGATAATGCAACATTCTCATTTGGCATTTTGCTGTTTCTAAAGTAAAATTTAATTAAACTCCAAAACTCCTTTAGCCACTTACTACTGAATCAGATCTTAACCACAAGAATATTTTAACAATTTATTTTAATTGATTTATAAAATTATCACAAAATTAAAATTTTCTACGAAAATCCGTTTCAGTTATGTGAACAAAAAGTCCCTGGACTTGAATCCTTATTTTGTAGATAAAAGATTTTATTGTGTCTTGAAAACAGTTTAACAAAATCATTACCATCTTATTTATTGCAACTTCCCTTATCAATTGTTGGTAATTTAAAAAGATAGTTCAGACATGACTGTCACCTCACCCCACAGCACTGTGGGCATCTTTTAAACCATTCTCTTTTTTTGAATAATGGAGATAAATTGGGCACTTACGTGAGAAGGCCGGGGTTGTCCGTGGGGTACCACGAGTATTGTGGGAGGTAGTTGTGTGGCGGGTGTGGGTGCGGCGCTGGATGAGGTGGCGGGTGTATCGGTTGCTGGGGTTTGACGTCCCAGCCAGGACTAGCTGCCGGTTGACCCGACATGTCTGAACCAGGGGTCGAACTGGGGGCCGGCGACGAATGCTGCATGTACCCCGTCGCTGGAGAACCACTCGACGATCCGCCCCCTGAAATACACAAGAATGTCAATCGTTGACGACCGTTTGCTTTAACATGGGAGTCGCGTGGGCGTACTGACTGTAGATGGCGCCAGACGTAACGCAATATGGTGACTACGGTTTATATGACGCGTTCATAAAATCGTAATGCCAAGGGGTGTGGACTGCACGTTTGACGTGGCTTGGGTCTCATCGATTATGCAACAGGATAAAATAGTCATTGATGTTAGCGAGATGAACTTAACGAGCAGATTCTTTTCACTTTTTTCCCCCAGTTTTCTAATTGCGGTGACATTTAGAAATTGGGAGACTTGATACAGAAGCTAAAAAATGGATTCGTGCAGGTGCTTTCGGTAAGATAATATATGTAATTAAAGATTGCAGATTACAAGATGAATTTATTATAGCAAGTAGTTATTAAATCTGTGTTTTTTTCTTCTTGGAACTAGTGAAAGTGTCTACTGGAATTATCAAAAATTTTGTATCAACCGGTTGCAAATCTTAACAGTTATTTCAACACTCAAAAGAAAACCACATTGTAAAATATTATTTGTAACATCTAAAGAAAAAGAAACAACATTGGAATCTGTGTCAAAACAGGTATCTAGAAAAGTCTGCAGGTGCTTTTTGAACTTTGTTGTTCTGAGGTAATTTCGTCATTTAGACCATTTAAAATGTTTAAACATCAAATTTAAAAAAGATGTGGCATAAACAGGTGTCCGGAAAAAACATTAAAAGATTTCGAGGGTAGTTTAGGTCAAAATAAGAATAAGAGACCTCAATCCGCAAATGCTTACTGAGGGAGCTGGAGGTCCTTGGAGATAGCGGGCAAAACGATTTTTTTCAATTATCTCAGTGACCGGTGAACATAAATTTACAAATTTTTTGAGGGTGAATCTATTGATGATATCAAAAAATGTGTAATTAGAAGGGCAAAGACACTGAAGTCGATCTATTCATGACTTAAAATTTTGTTTTAAAATAAGTTTTTTGAATAATTTTAGCAGATGCGGATTTTTTTTGGATATTTTTTTTTTTCAAAAAATGACTTGTGTTATTTTTGTACGTTTTCGAGAAAAACTGGTCTTTCTTAACCCTGCTAACTCTCCAGAAATCTTTTAACGGTGTACATCCGCCTATACAGGGTGCGGTAGAACTCGCGCCTCAGAGAAAAAATAAAAAATATAAGATAAGATACCAGGAACATGAAAAAAATGTTAAAAAAAATTATCTATAAAAACTTCAAAGTTGATAGATTAAATTTTGTATATTCACTCTATTTATTTCTGTTGGAAAAATAATTTTTAAAGTTTTTTTGCTACAGGCTATTAGAAGAGGAAACAAGTTATTTGTGTTTTTATTGGTAAAATTTTTGTACTTTTACTAGATAATTGTAAAAAAACATATACAAGGTTACCAGTAACATTAAATAGATATAAAAAAAATGTCAAATGTTTTTGACAGATAGAATTTTTTAAACATTTTTTCCATGTTCCTGGTATCTTATCTTATTTGAAATTTTTCTCTGAAGCGCTCCCTGTATACTCGTAAATCAATTTTAAAAATGGTAATAAATTATTAAGTCGTCTAACAAACAAAATTCAAGCCCTTGACAAACTCAAAATAATTTTACCAAGTACCGAAAGACTTTTGTTAAAGACAGAAGCCCCACAAGCTGACATATTCTCAAATAATTAAACAACTTCTAAAATCAAAGTTTTAATTTACAAATCGGATGTTTCAAATGACAAATTCATTAGTACAAATTTTTGTTAATTAAGCCGACTTGAGTGTTGTTTTCAGAGTTGACTTCGACCTCAAATTTTTTGATCGTTCTATACTTATAATTTAATTTTTTACATAGCTATAACAATTTTTTGCTGTAGCTGGTAATTCTGTTTTTCAGCAGCACGTCCAAAATTTCAGTAACGCTATACAGGGTGTTTCACATAATTTTACGAGGCCTGCGCCTGTAAGATGCAATCATTAATACATATTCCGATACGAACTCGATTACAAATTTTGAAAAATTGGATAATTTTCTCTAGTTTGTTCACCCTTTCAAAAATTACAACATTTTTAGTTAGTTAGTGATTAAGATAGATAACTAGAATCATATTCATGCCGTCTCTTGATAGAACAAATGATAATTGTTTCTAAAAAACTGCCGTTTATGACTATTAATGAAACAGTGATTATTTTGACAACTACTGTCATGGATTTCCAAAAATTAAATACTTAATTAAATGAGTATTTTTTCTATCTAGTGTTTTGTGAATTTTAAATATTTGGGTGCGTACATTAGGCGCAAGTCTCGTAAAGTTGTATGAAACACCCTGTATTTTTATTCTGAATTTATTCTCGTTTTCGTGTTATCCATGCATTCTTACCAGTTTTTTGTCACAAATACGTAGCATATGATTGACATCGCATTAAGTTAAATCTCTCCGAGACTTTCTATTCTTTCTTTTCAAAAAAGCCGAGTTCTTGATAAACCTTTTAATCGACAAAGTCGAACAATAGAGACCTGCCTTTGATATTTTTGCTCACATTTATGACTGATGCGTGACACTTCTCACATGCAAATTTGTTCGCGTAAAAACACTCGCTGTATTTTTATCACTACATCATAAATATAGACCGACACAGTACCTCACGCACATTTTGAGACTTTGTTGATATATCAAGCCGGAAATGACAGGAAAAATACAACATCACAATGATCTCGTCAGATAAGTGTCAAAGTTTTCTTGTTTGGGATGGCCTTATCGAGAATCTAAATGATGTTGTTACGAAGCAGACCGCGCCGAATTCTCAATTTTTAAGCGAATTATCTTCATCTATCTGTCATGCAGAGAAATTAAATCTGTATTAGGTAGAAGCATCCCATTGATTGGTGCAGACCAATTTGATTGTTGCCCCAAGTGCACAATTTAGAAGTTTTCACATTGCGCTCGCTACCACAAAGACGGTAGAAGAAAAAAATGATTAAAATTACATAACGGTCTTGACTAAGAGTATTATTTAAATCCCATTATTACAAACAGGAAACGCCGTTCGATAAAATCAACGAAAAGATTTTACATTTTGTGATTTTCGTTTCATAAAGAATTAATTAACGGCTGCCCACTAGGAAAATCATCATTCAAAGAAAATACATTTTTGACATCGTATCTAGTCTGTTTAATTAAAATATTCACTATCTTTAAAATTAAAAAATGATATTGCTTTGGTTAAAAAAAATTTTTTTTTCTAATTACCTGCCATCATGTTTTGGCCTTGTGGCCCTGGACTCGTCGACGGCAGCGCCGAGTTGGGTCCCAGAAGTCCCGAATGACCCCCAGGCGTCCCATTATTATTATTGCCTCCCGAAACCTGCGCCGCCTTCATCATCTTCTTGTATTTGCTTCTTCTATTTTGAAACCATATTTTGACCTATAACAAAAAAAAAATCGTTCTTTAATTGCACATTTAATTGACGTTCAACGTTGACATGCGTCTTATATTCGATCATTATTAGCGATAATTGACATCATATTCGTTTCTTGCATTTGCTTTTTTTTCTTAAATCGAATAAAATCCTCAAGTGGAAGGCAATTTCCACATGAATTCCAGTCCACCAGGTGATGACGTTCACATGACTCGCAACAATTCGCTTGTTATTCACGACTTTTCCGAACTAATCCATCATGCAATGCAAATGGTGAACATGTGCGATTAGGTCAGACAAGTGATCAACAAGTTTTACAAAATTCGAACGCTGCGATAAATGGCACTGACAATTTGTGTTTTAAAATTGTTTAAAAATGACGAAATATTTGATTTTTGGTATTTATACTGCGAACATCCGTCTGAAAAAAACAGTGTACTTATGTAATGTATAATGTAACAAAATAGTCTTTCGTCATTAGATATTACATAATATAAATTTTTTTTTTTTTTGAAAAAAAAAAACATAAAAAGCTTATTTGCACACAATCTAATAGGAAAACATCACGTCGTATCAGAGAACAATTAACTTATCAGCCGTTTTATTGCCTTTCTTCAAATTTTTTGCAATATGAATGAATTTCTTGTAAAAGCGTATGACCTCACGCAATTACACTTCCACAATAGAAAGGTTAGAAAACAATTCCGCGCCGTTGGCACAACTCACCGATGGTTCAAGACCTTGTCAAAAACTCTATGAAGCAGAAAGTAACATAATAATCCTAATATTAAATAAAACCTATTATTAAAACCAATTTTACTGACGAAGAAGCTACCGAGATTTCTATAATCATTGTTATTACCTCATCGAAGAGGCTAATTTCGTGACTGACATCAACGTTTTCGAAACAAACACCAAATCGAAATTTGTACTATTGTGTCTCAGTGTTGTACCGGATTTACCTTGTAATAAAATATTATTAGTACAAACAGTGTTAATATTCGTAAAGTTCAAAAGCTCATTATCGTAATAAATTGGAATTACACACGCTGCATTATTTATTTCCCATTAAATTTTATTAGTCTCCATTTGATATAAATAACAAATCAGCAAAAATCTTGCTCAACTATTATTATTTTTCAACTGATAATACACGTTGTCTGAAACGGTTTTCAAAACAGAAGCGAGATAACAATCTGTAACACTGTGGATTTCCAGGGCAACACTTTTTTTCCCATCCCAAATCCATTTGATACATGATATGCGTTTGTCGAATGACAAGTAACTGTAAACGTCCCAAACATCGTCCCACAAAATCCTGCTAAATCGAATTTTTTCCGAGTCGTGAGTCCGCGATGCCCTCGGGCTTCAAAGGTTGAAGCAAAGGAAATGTTACAAGGTCTTCAAGATTATCGCGGAGATTGTGGCGTTTTGTAATCACTGTCTCTCTCTCGTTCACTCTTTTTTAATTATTATTTTATAATGAGTAAAAAAGAAAACGTTGAAGTCTTCATGTGAGTGACAGTAGGCCGCTGCGGGCTGCCGTCGTACTTCAAGAAGTTAAAGCTGCGTTCACACTTTGCACTAGATTTTTTTACACTTTCCACTGTCCCATCGATTCAATTGTCCAACATTTTTCCTGTTCACATGGAGTTCAGGGAATTAATTAATTTAATTACACGTCTTCGGCTAGATAAAGATGGTTTATGTCGGGCCGCTGACTCCGATAAAAGCGGCTTTTTTAATGTTTTCTCGAATAATTGAAGTGGCGGGAACTGAACACCAAATTGAGATGTTTTGTACCATCAGCTGCTGAGTTGACTCTCGAATTGTGGAGATTATAAACTCCTCTGCTTTCGCTCGTCTTACATTTATTTAATTAGTTTTCAAGATGTACCGGCATTTGTAAAGTTTAATGCAACAGCAAACCACAGGGTGATTTTGATATAGTTTTCGTAATTTTAACTAACAAGTCCCATAGTTGGGTACGTTAACACAAAAATATATTTTTTTGGAAAAAGCCAATAGTGGATGAGAAAATTATGATTAAAATTTGGGTAGTAAATTTAAGTACGACAATGGATATTCACTTTCCATTTCAAGTGGATTTTAAGGTAGCAAGAGAAAAACGGATAAAAACTCTTATCGCTTGGCGTTTTTGTAGCTTTGTCGTTTGTTGACTTTTCATTCAGTGGTAAAATCGCCAGTGCAGTCAGTGTTTCAGTACAAATTTGTAATTAGTTGCTGTCTCAATAAGACAAAAAATGCCCTACAACGTTTCGACACACCATACAACGTAGACGAGATCAGTCCCATACCCAAGACCGAATTTTGGAGTTAGAACCATAAATCCTGGACTTTATTGTAACGTTTAAGTAATTAATGAATGAAGTTTTCTAAAAGAGAAATTTTATCATCAATAAACTACAAAAACGTCTATTATGTCGACTACTTTTTTATTGCATTTTATTTTTATTTAAGCAAAGCAGTGAGTGTCGAAGGTAGGATGGGACGGAGTTAATTTTACATTAGCGAATTTCAAATTTTTGACACTGCCAAAAGTTTACATTGCTTCTTCAAATATCATACTAAAAATTACGAAAAGTATATCAAAATCACCCTGTGTATTGCAAAATTCATTTTATTCAAAAAATAAAAAAGAATATTTACATTTTCTTCAATTAAAAAAACTCAAAACACATTAAGAAATAAATAATTAAAAAAGAAAAAAATATGGTACGCAAAAATAGTTTGTTAGTCAGTACTCAAAAGTCAAATATTACTGCATTTTGTTCGTTGATAACAAAGATCTAAGTGGGGAAGTAGCTACTGGTGCACGCTGTATATCTAAATAGCTTTTTCTAAGGCGCGTTTTATGGCTTTTTTCGGCTTTACCAGATATCAGTTCTAATTAAAGCATAAAACAATCCTAAAATTTCGGCAAAGGTTCCTTTAATTAATTAACTTCACTAATTAATTGGACTAAACGGTCATTATGTCTGAAAGAATGGTAAGAATTTGTATCACAACGCTTGGGTTAAATAACTTCATTTCATCGTGACTTGCCTTTTTTTAATCAGTATTTTACACGAAAATGAAGAAATTGGTACATACAGTGGAATGATTAATGATGGGCATGACTCGAATTTTCTTCGACTGTTCAAAGTGAAGAAACAAAGTGTAACATCTTAATTCGTTGTTTGAAAATTAGAAAGTGTCTTTCTACATATGTGTAAGAATTTCTGAAATGATCGAATGAAACTGTTACGTTCGTGTTTGAATTCTAACATATGTTGGAAGTTATTTGAACAGTGGAAAAGCATTGAACGTTCTGCAAACCGCGATAATACGTGAACCGTGTCGCTGCATTATTAAAAAATAATAATAATGGAATAAATCCGGTAGTCCGAATGTATTCCGGATCGATTGTAGCCTTTTTACGGTACAAAACGTGAATCAATTAGCAGAGAAACTCGAAAAAAAACTTTTGCAACGGCAATTAAAAAGCAATCAAGTTCCTTTTCGTCGTCTAATTTGAATACTCGTGAATAGAACGAAATGATAAACGTCGATATTAAATGTCCTACAAATAGGAATACCGTTCCCTCGTGCGAACGCGGCTTTATCTAGGCACAAAAATGCACGAAAAATTTTTTTCATTCGAGTGTACAACTACGCCTTAGGCCTTATTCCGTTTCCGCTTTACACATGGCAGAACACACATTACAAATGTTACATCGTGTCAAATCGTGAGGGAGCGGCAAACAGTCTCCCACGATTATGTAACGAGCCGCACACCAACTTAGCGAGCAACTGTTATAAAACGATAAATCGTCCGAGAAGGCCAATTTTATATACACGTTCAATAAAAGTCGTTTTACCCTAAATTCGGATCGTAAATATGGGAGCACTTCGACCGGAACGGTCGACTTTTTGTGATGGTTAAACGGTCGCTGGATGTCTAAGCTTACCCATGTTGAAAATTAATTCAATTGTTTTACAAATGATGACATGATTCATTTAGATGATGGTTTATATGAAAGGGAAATGGGGCTGTTCTCATGGGACTGGGTGAGGAAAATAGAAACACTGCCCTCAAAGCACGCGGTGTTTATTCTAACTGTCATAACACTAACACATTTTTTCCAATTTGTATTAACTAATATCCCATCACTACTTCATCTGTACTTTTTTATAACAGTACCATTTCGTGCCAAATCAACCAAAATTGCCTCAAGATTGCGTAATTCTATTCTAGTAGTTAGTAAAATCAGCCGTATTAACAAACAAAATCAACAAGAAAGTATATGAACTCAGTACATGTTCTTTGACAATTAATTACTCGTAGTTTCCTGCATTTTATATCTTGTCCATTACGCTCTTGGTTCTAGTTTATTTTTAATTAAAGTTTATAAAGAATTAGCAAATACCTATGAATTTAGTTTGCACTTTATTTGACAATAATGTCGAAAATATTTACAAAAATGCAGTAGATAAGTACAATCGTGTTTCTTTGTATCGAGTTTTTATGTGTTTTCAAGTCAACATTTTTATTATTTTTCTTAATGAGCACTTTAAAGCGATACATAAAATGGTTTTCATTCTCAATAAAACAAATATAAAATGTCATAACGTTAATAAACCTTGTCCTTTCTCAATCTCAACGACTTTAATTCTAATACTGTCACTACTCGTATTTATCATATTTTATAGTTTAGGATAGCGATAATTGGAGTTTGGTCCCAATTTAAAGAATGAGGTACCATTTTGCGCATTTATGACACTACGCCACTGGCTGCATTAAATTGTTTGTTACACTTATCGTTTTTGATAGGTGCACAACACTAACATGACGAACGTAATCACTCGGTACTGATACTTATGAAACGTTAATTGTGTAGGTACCAAAGAAAAAAAATAAAGTTTCATAATTAATGGGTTTCAAGGTTTCCAAGTCTTTGTAGGCAACTTCCTTGATACATGGTGCTTACCTATATATTAATTT